TATGCAGTTCACTAAATAATAATTGATAAATGAGTAGATTGCGAAGATTATTTATTGCAAAAGTGAAGAATTACTGTTGATAATCAATTACTATTTACTTTACTACTACTAATTTAATATAAACACTTACTAGAGAACAAAAAAAAATATTTTAGTTTGAATTCCATTAAAAAAAATATATGCAATAAGCACTTACCTTGTTGTGTACATATATTTAATTATGTCATTTCTTGAGGGTTTTCAGGGTAAAAGTACTTTCCGGGTTAATAAACCGTGGTACCCAGCCTAACCTTACGTAAACCCAACCTAACCCGATAAGTACTTCATCTTCAATTATGTTTCTGGTTTTTCTTATTTTATTGTTATTCTTTGTTTAATTTTATACAAAGTTACAAAATGTTGTAAATGGTGATAAATAAAATACACGTATTTGTTTAGAAATAATTTTAATAACAACAAAAATAAAAAAGGAGTAATTTTATTAATGTACAAACGTTACACAATTATATCACAGCATTTAGTTATTTCATATGGTTGAAAATGGTGTGCTTTTTGATCAAAAGCTTCCCATCGCTTTCTCGTCACCTACTTTCTTCAGTTACAATTATATTGATCTGAAATAGAAACAATAAATTAGAATTACATCATATCAAGTAGATATAGATAAGTTATTTACCTCACTCAGGATTGTCCAGTTTTCACTTTCTGAATGAACATGTAACCTCAAGACTGATATTTTCGAAATGGTTTCGTTTAAAATTCCTTCAGCCATTCCAAACAGGTCGAATTTACCTATGAAAGTAAAAGACGTCGTAAAATATTTGGCCTATATGATACTTCCAATTAGAATAGTACGTTTAAGTTTATGTTTCATCATTATAAAGTCGTCAGTCCTAAGACTGACTGGTTGGACACGCACCTCCACTCTTTCGTATCCTGAGCTAATCTTCGCATTTCCCAAAAACTAGGACATCCCACATCCTTAACTATTTGCGAACAGGTAGGTCTACCTCTACCCCTCCTGATTCTCGTTTTTGTCTCTAATATGTCTCTAACTAGACCTTCATGCCTGAGAATGTGTCCTACCAACCTATCTCGCCTATTTCTTATTGACTTTCATAGAGTCCTCTGTTCTCCTATTCTTTCACCAATACCTCTTCATTTCTAACCTTCTCTATCAACGGTATCCTCATCATTCGCCTGTAACACCACATTTCG